GACAGCTGTCGCTCGGATCCTCTTCAGAAACTATTTGAAGACGAGTTCCCTATGCAAGTTCTCATCCGACTCATCGCGACCGCAAATATCTCTCTCGAGCGAGAAACCTCAGCAGTCAAAACGGATCGAGCTGACAATATTCACCGGAAACGTATAGCCGTATGAACTTCTTGAATTCCCCGATCTTCGATCAGATGGGAAGCCCTTCGTCCGGCTCGTCCGGCGAGCACGTAAAGCGTCGATCGATCCGAAGAGCCTTGAATGAAATCTCGGAGAATCCAGAGAACGTGAGCAAGTTTGTCTCTTTTGTGGACCGCTCCTCCACCTTGACGATGATCAAACTTACGATGAGCAGGACGACTACAACGAGAACGACGGCGAGATCGACACCGAATGCAGAGCAAATGCATAAATCTCGTATGTTCATTGCCAACAGATGGTGGTCGTCGAGATCAGCGCGATTCTCTTCGAGAGCGTATCCTTACATGTTTCGCAAAACGACGACCTCTGCTCGAGGCCTGAGACGACTCAGCAGTAAAAAAAACTTATATTTCGGAGGGTCAAATCACGGACACTTGCAGCGGAATATCTCCAATCCAAATACAGACTCGAATCTTAGTGCTGGGTTTTGATTAATGGGCAGTGAAATTGTACTGTCACCCCGTTTCGATCTCCGGTTCTAAGCGACTTCAGAGGGGGCACGCGGGATCTCGAGCCCACGGATTCAAAAGGAGGCGGAAATTCCATTTCAGGGGGTCGATCACGTATTCGCTCCATTCCGACGTCGCATTGAGCGAATGAAAGTGAACTCGACGGGTAATTCATGTTCCTCAGTCGGCTTCCAGACGTCATATTCAGGAAACAAGTATGAATGGCTGCGTAGGGATCCGCCGCATCTCTTGCCGAGTCCGGCGGTCGAGTCGACCATTTGGGCGCGAGATATGAGTTTTGACAAATGGAGGAATTATGGAGTTATTCGGGTTATGTCTTCAACCTCACAGCCAGTTATTTACTCTTCCTTCTCTGTGGCTCCCACAATAGACACAAAAGATACCTCCGCGCAGGTTCACGTGATCCAGAGGTCGCAGCTCGAATCGAGAAATGTCTCGAGGAAGCTTCGCAGCGGAAGAGCTCACAAAAACGGATGACGTCCCAAAAATGCATACGCCGAGCCGGATTCCTCGCTCAAACGATAGCGGGAGAGCGGCAGCGCCTGGCACGCTCGGTAGCGATCTGAAATGTTTGCCAACGGAGAGACAAGCCTCCATTCAAAACATCAGCGGCGCTGATCCCGATTTTCCCTGAAGGTGACGCTGTCGGCGAGAGTCAAGTGATGCCCTCAATGATAGAGCAACCAGCCGGGTGGGGGGAAAGTTCTTTAAGTGGAAAATTGCAAGTTGGCAAGAGAAAAAAATAGCATGGATCGTATGCCTTCTTCCGCTCCCCCGATCTCCCCACCGCGGGTCTATATCCTCCCGCTGTTCCCTTGGGCTGAGCTATTTCGCGCCTCGAAGGTCTACAATGTTTCCAGAGACTTCGCTCGCGATGGCTACGATTTTTTTCCTCCGATTTCCTCGCTTGGAAATATTTCAGAATTGTCGAGGACTCGATCCTAACCCTGAGAAGGATCCGACGAGGAAGTTATGTTGAGCAGTGACGAATCACTCCAAGTGTTCGGATCCGGGGAGGCGAGGCATTCGGCTCGGGAGCCGGTGGGTGGACACGGTCAAGATGACCAGCAGGGCAGTGATGGTCTCGCAACAAAGAAACTTCCGCGTCATAGAACTGAGCGGACAGTGGCTAGTAAGTTACAGGAAGCTGTTTTTGCTGGCCGGAGGGAACGAAACGAGTTGTGCATGAAAATCATGAATAAATTTTACGCCTTAGCTGCTTGCTCCCTGAATGGTTCGCTTTTGGTACAGCGCTCGGTATGTGTTCTCTGGAGGAGTTCAAACTCCCCGCTGCTCGTTGATTCCAAACTGTCACGGAGATCTGAACTCGCGGAAACGGGTCGTTTGTCAAAATACCTTGAAGTCATTGAGCTCACTGGAGGAGATCAAGTAATCAGCTACAATCGGTGTGGTGATTCGGAATCCCGCGCTCAACTTCCTCTCGGACACGCAGGCTGAAGTTTTCGTAAGCGGCAAAAATTAGCAAAATTGTTGTGAGATGTACGCTTGTGTTTGATCGGATCCTACCACGGACGCGAGAGTATCGTCGTACTGTGAAAAGAATTTTTATGAATGCGTAACGAGCTTTTGGTGATCCGGTGGAACAGTGGAGGCTTGTTGCCGCTGCCGCCGTCTGTAAGACATTTTGATCGAGTACCTGATTAGGCTGCATTCAGCTCTTCTTGCAACGAAGGCCACAGCGTCTGTCTATGGAGATCTCTGATGAGAAAGTCGAAAACTCTCTCAAAGGCTGTACGCCCAGGCTCAAACATGCGGACACACAGGTATCTCATCGAGCCTGTATATGCATACTGCATATGAGCAAAAAATAGAACGTATCAATTCCTGCCATGTCTGTTCTGAGTTCGCTCCCGAATTCAATTAGAAGTTCCCGGAGCGTCCAACACACGACCAGGACGGACCAATCACGAGCGAGAGTGTTGCGAGTGAAAATTCTCGGTGCCAACCTAGGACGCGGGAAACTCCTCTTGCGAATACGGGAAATTCGAGGATGGAATAATCTGATCTTTCCGTCTCCAGGATCACGTTCGAGGTGTGGAATCGCTGACAGTTGACAGTCGGAGTCAGTTGATACTAGAAAATCTGAGCAGCCCCCTGGATCAGGAACTCCGAACAGACGAAGCTAGTGGATCTGTTTTTCCTTTTCGATCGTTTTCGGTCCGGCTGCTCGATTGTGGGCGCGCATGTTGTCTCGTAAATATCCGATATCTCGGTGGCTGGTGTTTTTTTTCGTCAGAGGAACAAAAAGAAATACGGACTCAGAGGGATGTATCTATGAGAACATGGACGGAAAAGAAAAAACGAGAGACAACCGAGAGACAGCATAGCACCACGCGATTCCCGCGGGCTGGCAACGGATCGGGGCAGTGGGAAACGATCGCTCCCTCTCGTAAATTCTTCAGAAAAATAGCCTAAAAGGCACTCTTTCTACGAGAAGAAGAAACGCGCGCACACATGGGACACAAAACAAACGCTGCTCATAAAAAAATGTCAACAACTGTCCACTCTCAGTCTCAGATTCTGAATCAATCGCGCTCCTCCAGAGGAAGACAGTAACTTACTGACGAGCTCCCGAGCGAACGAGGAGAAGAGCGATCGAGTTTTATGAACTCGGAGACAAAAGAATCAGCAGCGATTCATCAGGACAGCGTTCAATCTCGTATTCCTATAGGTTTTCAATCTCATTGTGTTAGGAGGCTTCCGATCGAATTGAGTCTCGAGTCAATAGCAGCGACCACCAGCTGACTGACCCCTCGAGCTTTTGCCCGACAGTTCTTACGTCGGTCCGTTCCCCAAGTCGAAGGAAGAAGCAAGCAAGCTAGTGAGCGATTGATCGACTGACTGACTGAGTCTTCAGAAAAGTTTGGCATAGGCTATGCGGCAAAGAAGCAAAGCAAACGGGCAGAACCCCTGCAAGACTTAGCAGCAGCAGCGGCAGTGCTGCCGGCGGCTCGCACACACTGACACACAAGTCTGTGATCCGTCTGGATTTTCAACCACCGCTTGTCTCGAACAAAAGGATTTAATCCGTTCTCGACGCTCCGATGGCCGTCTTGCCCAACCCTCCTGGCAGGCATCGAATCCAACGTATCATTTCTTTGCATACGCTGCTACTTCTTCTTCCCCTCTCTTTTTCAACTTTTTATCCGATAGCTCCCCGGGCTGGACTCGGATTCCCGGTCGGAGGAGCGAGTGCCTAATATTTTTCAGGGACATTTTCCGAAGGGCCGAGATATTTCCTATGAAATTTCGATTGAGTAATGATTTCCCTCCGGTCGAGAATCACTCGCAACGATCAGACAAGCCGAGTGCGGCAGAGTCAGCTGAGAAACTTCGGTGTTGTCGGTCCGTCCAATATACGAGACTGAGGAGGAACTTGAATACAATAGTTAGGGCGAGCGCAAAAGAGTTTTTCCCTTTCAATCTCCCGTGCGGCACGGTTCCGCTTCCATTGGGGAGGAAGGGGGCAGACGAGCGAGCGAGCGAGCGGACTGACGGTCCGACCGACAGAGAGTGAAGGTTTTTTGTGTCCATCTCTCTGCTCTTCAGAGATGATGGATTGGCGGCAATTAGAGAATTCCATACTCCATTTTCTTCCTCGTCGTCTCCGCTTGTCCCTCCAAAGAAGAAGAGGACTGACTCACCGTCGAGCCTTCATCGAACTTGTAATGGAAGCTCGCGTACTCAGTCCGTCAGCAAGCCAACCAGGTGGCATCGCTCAATATAATATCCAGCTTTTCGAAGCTCCATAAGGGGGAAAAGGCATCCCATATTGGGAATGTCCCGATCGAGAAGCGAAAACCTTTATTTCCCTGGCAATCCTGCCGAAAGAGAATTCAGCCTCAAAACCCCTTACGGAAGGGGGAGCACTCGTAAAAATCAGGAGTCTTTTTGGAAATTATCAGCACTTGAATCTCTCAGATTCGGACGGGGAAACGGACTTTGGTCATCTCGGTCATTCTCTAAGCGGCGACTCTGGACAACGACGCAGACCAGGTGGGTACTCGGGTCAGAGAAATCGAACATTTCGTTTTTCTCCAATTTTTAGAGGCTGATAAACTCGATTAGATCTCATCTACATGAACTGGTTCCATGTTCATAACTGTGCTCGGAGAGACAGCCCCATCGATCGCCTGTCGAAATCAAAAAAAAATTTCCCGGATTCACATTCCGTTCCACATGGGTCCTCGGATACGTGAATCTGGAACAGGGAGCGACCTCCGTCGGGAACCGAATTTGCCTTGGTTCCCGATGGGAGGAAAGTCTGGTTGCCGTTTTCCTTCAGCCGGATGGGGCGTGAAATAGCAGTCGGATGTCCGAGCCAGAGTCGGAAGGATGCAGCTCCGATCGAGTGTTAGCCGTGTCACCAGAGGTCAGTCTCCTCTTTCATGGTACTCACCTCTTAATCTTATCGCTTCTCCCAATTGTCTTTCGAGACTCAATCGGCCTTCTCTTTCCTTCTCGATCTCCATCTTTAGCTGAGCTGGAAAATACATACAAATCATTCCCTTAGCGAGTGAGTCCGAACAAGTCGACCTACGCTGGAGACTCAGAGGAACTTGAGGTTCAAACAACTTCATCTGCCGAATCGACATGAGTCTTCTCTCGTTCGTTCGTGAGGACGCTTCGGTATTTCTTTTTTCCCTCCATCGACTGATTGAGGGTGTGCAAGCCCAAGAGTCTGTCCGCATATGTATGTGTTCTCCCAAGTTAATTGAGGCTGATAAGCTTTATCGTAAAGCTGCTCCATTATCGCGGCTGCGCTGCTGACTAGCGCCACCCGCTACGCAGACAGCGAGCGCATTGGCGCCGAACAGTACGGAAGAGCTCCTCTAAGCGGTAAGACCCGGACACGACAAAAACACGATTCCTCGTCTTAACGGTACCGAGTCGCCGCTTAACGCTGCTTAGCGGCACGGTACGGTCTTTCTTCCCTTCTAATGCTTCTTGTCGTCGGCGGAGACAACGTCACCAGCCATATTTTATTGCTCAAGCCGGAATCTCTTTCTCTCTTTCCCTTTCTGTCATGTCTCGTATCGACTTCTCCTGTGGTCATGCGAGTGCCCTCCGCTGCACGAAATCGGGGAAGCGACTGCGAGGAACGTTCGTCGGCTCTCCGAATTCAATGGCTCATACGAAGAGAGATAACCTTGGACGATTTCGCGAAACCGACTTAGTCCCTAGCTTCGAGTATGTGTATTCATTCTGCGGTTGACCGATAAGAGTTTCGAACAGTCTGAGCCTTCTTCGAAGTCTCGGGCACCGATGGAGAGAACAAAAAAGATTTAAATGACCTGACCGTTCCTTATCCAGCTTTTCCTGAGTCACCTCTACTTTCACTTTTCATCCCCGTCCCTCCCCTCCAGGAGATATTGTCTATCTCTTCCTTTCTTTCTTCCTTCCTACTTTAAGCGGTAGGCAGTTGATTTTTCCACCTCTTCTCTCTTCCTCTTGCTGGACCCGAGTCGATGGTTGGATCGACCGGTCGCTAGCCAGTCAGTCGACCGAAAGACGGACCAAAGGCAGAGGAACCTACTGGGAGAACGAGCGAGCATTCGACCATTCTCCTGACCGACCGACCGGCCGACCAACCACCTAAATCTCCGTCGTATGCAAATCTTATCTTGGCGGTCTTTGAGCAGAAATTCGAAATCTCGCCTCGATGTTTTTTTTCGATGAGGCGACTTGCTCAATTCAACTTCTTTATCGAGACCGTAGCAAGTCCAGGTAGGATAATTTCAATCAGACGTCTCCCCGGCCAAGCTTCGTTCTCTAATTCCCTATGACTGGGATCTTCACCCGACCAGTGAGAGCTGTTGAGTAACTTACTCTTTTCGAGCACCGATTTCCGCTCGAAGTCCCGCGCGGTTTCGGCCGCAACCCGCAAGAGTGCTTGTATGTTCCTGAGCAGCAATTCGACAGACGCGGTCGAGTTGTTTCGCTCATCTAGAGGGTCGTCCTTCATCGGAGATTCTCTAGCAACTTCATCCGAACTTTCGCTGTGAGTACTCATCGCCCTCTGATTACTCAAATTCAGCGCCGGAGGCTCCGAGGAGCTTCTGCTCGGAGCTGGCGACTCCTCTGTCTGCAACTGTTCGCCCGACCTGGAAATGAAACAATCAGAAGTTATAGATAGCTTAGCCTGATGCGATCGCAAAGCGTACTCTGAAGCAGGATCGTTATGAGCGAGGACATGACCCCGACCAGATGAAAGAAAATGCGTCTTGAACCGAGATAATTGCTATTTCCGAAGCTCCGGTGTCGGGTTTCGAGAATCTCTCATCGAGTGCATCCGATTCGGTCGGACTTTGTTTGTGAAACCCCTGACTGAGATGGAGCCCTCTCGTCGGTGGTTTCCGCGAGCGGCCAATAAACCCAAATATCGAGGAGCAGGTTCCCGTCGGAAGATATGAGCTCGAGCTAGATCGCTCCCTTCGCCGGGGGAGTCTGATCTGACACGGATTGTCGTGCGCTCCCCTGGCAGTCGCGGCTTCCGATGCACCATAGCGTGGCGTATCAGTCCTGGTCGACGACGAGAAGGGAGCAAGTATCCATCGGTCCATCCATCCCTCCACCTGTCCGCCTTATTTCTCCGACGAGTTGACTGGTGGAAGCGGTGGAGAAAAAATCTGCTGCTGCCGCTGCTCTAAGCCTAGTGCAACTCGGCTTGGCTTAGCTCGCTCAGACAGAGGAATATTCGATATGTCGATACTCAAGAATATTCCCGTCAAGGCTGTGAGGATGTGTACTCGATACATCTCGCCCCTATGCGGCCGCCCAATCGCCGCCCACCAGCGCGCGCGAGCTCGCACTCTCTCCTGTGCGTTCATGCCACCGAAAAGGCTCGAGCGAGAGCAGGCAGCCGCAGTCTCCATCGGAAAGATGCTTCGACGTGCATTAAGCGAAAAGTATCCAATAATTCGGCACATACACGGCATCCCCTCGGCTACCGCCGATGAAGGTCTAGGGTCGCACGGGAGATCGCTTCTCGTTCCGAAAACTAGGGAAAAGAGCGAATTTCGATTTCATCGAGATAAACGAAAGGCATTCAATCCTACGATCCCCCACTGTTAGGTCTCATCCGGTTCGGCTGCGGCTTTCGAACGCATTTGGCCCTGACAACGAAACGCGAGAGAAGTGATGGGCGCTCACGCGATCTTCAAAAATATTTATATCTCTCTCGTTTTCGGGGGATTTGATCGGCGACGCGTGCCGCTTCACCTCTGTAGTCACGTCAAAGGTCACAATCATTGATACTGGAGCTAAACTGACATTTGAACGCAAAAACGCGGCGTCAACAACGTACGATTAGTCGAATTACGGCGCCCGATCGATTCTCAAACAATTATCGCACGCATCGGCAACCGACGTGTAGGAGGTGTGACGTCGACCCCTGAAAACTCGCTCTCTTCCACCTCGCACCGCAAGAGAATGTTCGGTGCTGAATCTGTCCAGCGCTGCCGTCAGCAGAATCCGGGATGAGAGGGCGAAATTCTATGTGTCTTCACTCTTCTTGTTCTTCCTGTGTGCGAAATCGCTTGCTTGCTTGCTTTCCTGCCACACTTTCCCGGCCGGCGAGTCGCCCGCCTGCCCGCTCAACTGACTTGCGGGTGGGTGTGGAACTTTGTTGACAATCATTTTGTCTTTGCGCCCCCCACCGACCCCTTCATGCTTTGGCGGCTTGACTGCAAGGCTCGCAGGCAGGCAAGCGGGCGGGCGGGCGCTTCCTCGGTTGGTCGCTCGGGCCGAATCGCGGACTGGATCGCTAGCTGGGTGGGGTTGCCCCAATGCAATGAACTGTGTTAATCTTTGAAGAATTTACTCAAAAAAAAAGAGCACGAGGAAGACGGAGCAAACGGAGAGCAGAGCCGGAGGTCTACGGCTCGTCTGGTGATATATGGGACCGAAGATTGATGAAGACCCGGTGGAAGAAAAGATAACCCCTCGCTCGAAAGCCACCACGCTAGATTTTTTTTCGCTACCGTCGCATCAAAGTGCAATGCAAGCACACCGGTGGCGCGGCTCGGAACATACTGTGCGGAAAAAAACTCCTATCTTTCAATCGAGAATCCCTCACGCTCGGCTGCTCGCGTTACCGGCGGGAACGTGAGTCGTCTATCGCAATCAGTCGGGCTGTTCAACATACAGTCGTCAGGGCGGGCGGGCGCCATCGTCTTGGAATGGCAGTACGAACGTTCCATTTTTAACTCCTCGCCGAGCAAAGTTTATTTGCCGTGGTACTTAGCGCCAGATGGTCGGCAGAGTGGTCTCCGACTATGCGTTTACATCCTCCTAAGAAAGCTCTCCACTCGCTGGAGCCCAGCCACGCGCTTGCCCCCACCGCGCCGTCATTCCGAAGCTGAGGGTTTTTGTCTTTGCATTTTTTAAATTCCCACTCGCCACAATTTTTTAGGCTCCTTGTCCCAGTCGAGCCAGTTCCGATGCGTTTCTCCGGCTACTTGTCGTCTCTTCATCTCCGTATTGCGCTCGAATACGTTGTGCTCGCGATCGGGAGCCTCGCTTATGGAGCGGCCGGAGTCGTAGCGATTCAAAGTCTGCGGAGCGTCTCGGCGCTTAGGCTGGAAATCCTCGGGGGTAGGCAGAGAGGTAGAGAGAGATAATTCATAGACCCGAAATTCGTGGAGATGACGTTCGTCTAAAACTTTCTGCTTTTGTGCGTGTGATTTCGTCGTTGGCATGAGTGAGTGAATGGGTGGCGAGTCCCTTCGTTTAATCAGAAACCGAGCAACCAAGTTCTATTAACCCCGGCCCGACTCCGCCGCCCACATCTCAGTCAGGCCAAGTCTACCTCAGTGCATTTATATTGCTGTTAATTTGCGCCCCAGGCTGCGCCACCTCCACCACTGCTGCTGCTACTGCAACAACTATGTCGACAATTCATGCTTGCAGAGGCACAATCACGTAGCCAAAGGCTAACTGCTCCGCGCTAGACAACAGCGGTGGACGAAACAGGGACCACCAGTCAACCAGCTAGGCGGAACAACCAGCAAAGTGACACATGCTACGCGATTTGCCGTCATTCACGGAACTCAGGGTGGCCCAGCCCCCTCCCCCTAAGTTCCCTGTGACGCTTTCCGGCACCTTTCTCGTCTCGACGGTCGTGATTAAGCATGTTTTCTCTCAGCATTCGATTCGCAATCTTCCGTTCTCCATCAGGCAGGTATTGGGAAGGAAGAGCGTCGGACTGTCTATGAATGGAGGCTAGGTTGTCTATCTGAGACCAGGATGCACTGCTCGAAAGCCATCCTGCTAGAGCAGAGGCTTAAATCGGGTATGAATTCCTGGCGGTATCAGCTATAAACAGCGTAACAATGTTCGTGTGTGGAGATTACGTGGTGCATCTTTGACTCAGAAAGTATCCAGACGAAATAACGAAAACCCGGTCCAGGTATGCCCCCGAGAAGGTGAGCTCCGTCCCTGCTGACTATGCCATTTCCTTCGGTTGTCGAGGAACTGGGATGCTGTTGAGAGCCGAAAGGAGCAGCATGTTTCTTAGTCAGTTTCGAGTTCTTGCATTCGACTTCTACATTCAGACTTGACGTCAAGCATGAACTATAATTATCATACCTCGACGTTCGAGGTCGATGCGCGGTCTCTCGAGAACGTTTCAGATCGAGGACATGAATTGACGATCGTAACAAGCAGTGTCTTGTCGAAATCAATGAGCGTCCAGTCGAGATTTTGCTTCTGAATGTCTTGTCAAAAAACAACGGCCTGTACGATTCCACTGGCGAATGATGATTAATATACTTAGAGGGTCGATGGAGATCGTTTTAGCAAATGAGTCAAAGCCATATTGTCGTTTTCGCTGGCGAATCCGCATGATATCTGAATGGGGACCAGGATGTTAGCGGCAATGACAACTCGTATGCCGAAACTAAAAACATCGTCGGCGTTCCTCCAGGTACATGAATGTTCTTCGTGCTCGGAGCGAGGACGGTTTGTCTATGTAAAAGAACAATGTCTGGGTGAGACGAGCGGACTCAGGGACAAAAGATCGATCGATCAAACAAACGGATGATTGATTCTATCGACCCAGTGAATATTTGAGGTATGGCGCTGGAAATTCCATGATTGGGAATTCCTCCCGAGGAAGAATTCCTCGGAGGAATGATGATTAGGAAGAGCGTTTTGTTTTCATTCTTGATCCCGATTCGCGCCAGTCGAGGATTCGGACCCGAGTCGGGTTTTCCTTCGTTGAGGGCGAGGAGCTCGAGAAAAAATTTGAATCTGTGGTCCCATCACCGGCGTTCCTCATCGCGCAAGTTTTTTTACTCTCTGTCTCTTGCGCCTCTCTCTCCGTTGCCCTGATTGGCTTTTTCATTCGCGGGGCCTGTCGACCCTGCCAAAATCTCCATCACCAATTGGTTGTCGTCCATTTATTTTTTAATCCCAATTAATAAATCAGTCTAAGCCTAAGGGCTTTTGTCTGATGAATGAACGAATCGATATATGAACGAACGGCACACTGAACGCTAAGGCGGACTTATGACGGAGCGACTCCTCCATCTAAAGTTTAACCTTAATTCGAGGTTATCTCGATTCTTCCGAAACTTTAGCCCGGCCGCCGGGATGTCCAAGACCACGGCTGCCGCTCTAGCGTACTAATCCCTCGGGCTAGGGTGAAAATTCTACCGTCCACCGAAGTCGATGGAAACTCTACGATCTACCGAAGTCAGTGGGAACGTACTTGGTCGTAGTTGCGTTACAATTATTGGCGGAGCTTGTCGAGCGAGCCGCTGATAGACCCTGGTTCGCTGCCATGGCCACTGCGTTGAGAATTGCTTGTTGCTGGTGAATTCCTGAAGGCATTTGGCTGTGTAGTTGGTTTTGAAGCTGAGGATGAAGCTGAGAAAGAAACTGCAGATGTTGGGCGGCGGCGATCGCTTGTTGCTGCTGCGAACTCATCATGGAAACCTTCGCATTGTCACCTGAGAGGATAGAAAAATAAAACACTACTGAGGGGTCCCTGACGATTATAAACTTCAAACTTCATAGACTGCGACGAAGCCACCGATCCGCGGAAAGAAGTCCATGGATGTATGAAAGAAGAGCGGTCAAACAGTCGAACGGGAGAGAAAAACATATCATGGATCGTCAGACAGACCGACGGGTGGATGGAACTCGTCCTGGCCATCGTTGTCTAGCTCAGGAAGACTCGGAACTCGCGCCACAATAGCACTGCGGTTGGTTTCTGCTCGTAAAGTTTAATGCTCTTTCACGAGTCGTGAGCTTCATCGGCGGCACCACCGTCGGAAAAAATCTCGAATGAGCCGAGCAGCGGTCTTCTATCTATGCCTTTTTTTTCGTTTTCTTCCCTCGTTTCTCCTCATGTTATTTTATGATCGAAGTGGGCGACTGTCTTTCAGAGATATTCGCTGTCGTTTTTCAAATGATCCCCCCGATACGACGCATCGCCATTACGCGTAGCACTCTTCCTCTCCCTCTGACTCCGTCTCCTCCTTGAGGGCGATTGGAATTTAAATTCAAATCTGTTTCCGCTCGATATTTTCTTTTCTCTTTCCGAACCGGGCCGAGATAGCACAGATGGGCGCTAGCGTGAAGCACGCAGAGATACTCCGCCACGATATCGTGATCGCACCTGCATTGTCGTCGGGTCTTCACTTTATGTTCTTCAACTTTATTTTTCGGAAATCAAGAGATCCGTTCCTACATCAGGATTCTCCCGGAAATCCTCAGCCGGTGCTTCTCATTGATTCAAGTCGAAACCTTTTCCAGACATGAGCCCACGACGGGATCCAGGGAATTTCGCTTCTTAATCGGGTACTTATCGATCCAAACGCTCAAGATTGTTTTTGTTTCTGATATCCGAAGACAGCGAGCCCCCTGAACGCAATGATGACTGGCTGGCGCGCAGGCAGTTGCGCGGGCAGAGCTCTCGTTGGCAACGATGGCGTTGGAGTTCGAAGAGGCAGACATTTAATTTTGCTTTGCATTCGACAGAGATGGATGGCCTTTCGCGCAAGCAAGCTCCGAGGACTGGAATTGATTCTGCCAGCAGTCGGTCGGTTCGTCCGAGAGCTCGCCAGCCATCCATCCAGCAATCAGTAAAAGAGAAAGAAAACCAAGAAGAGCGGCAGCGACTTTTTCCTCTGAGTGAAAAAGCGAAAAGAAGAAAGCGCTCGCTCACGAGCTGCCCGATAACGACTCTTCAATGGGCCCGCGGCGAGTTGCCGCCTGACGGGCGAGCTGGCAAGCCTTGCCAGCTTGCCTTGCCCTATTGACAGTGGTAGGCAAGCAACGCGTGCTCGTCGGCTGTTCTAAAATAAAAAAAAGCTTGAAAAGATTCAAATGCAGACACACTCGCATCCGCACAACGAAAGTGGTACGGGGGAAGACACAACAGATAAACAGATTTTCATTCTTTGTTTCATTCAAGTTCACTCGCTCCCGAGTTGCTTTGTCTCTGCATCTCTCCGCTTCCTCTCTCGGTTGGTCTCCATCAATCTGTCAGTCCGTTCGGCCGATCGTCGATCTCTGAGACTCTCGCTGTCTCCGTCGCCGTCGTTCGCCCACGACCAGCGGAAATCAGCAGGGGAAAAGAAGCTCAACGTGTAGGTGCAGATTTCGGACTCAACGTTCCGATCCTCAGAGACCGGCAGAAAACCATCGATCAACACTCGAGATGTAACTGCTGATTTGCCGAGAAAGGAAATACTTTTTCTCTCCATCGCTTGGCAGCGGACTTACTCGGGGACCGAATTTGAATCTCCGTTCTAACTCAGGTGTTTGTTGTCAAAGCGTTCGGCTCTGTTTGTGATAATCTATGTGCATCGCTTACGATATCTGGTGGAACGCAGACAACAAGTAGGGAGTAAGAGAAAGGATTCGTTAAAACTGGCAGGGGATCGAGGGAGCACGCCCTTGCGTCATCGTCGCCGACTCGGTTAAGGTAGTTGCGAGCTAGCGAAGAGATGTGATGCTGCATATTGAATATATTTACATTGATATAGTTGAACGGAACAAAAGGAAGAGCCGGCTGAAACTCCGCTCCACTCCAAGTCCCGCTCCCGCCGCCATTGCCACCGCCGACGAAATGAGGCAGCGAGCCGACTTCCTGTTTACCTGCGCTGTTAGTTAGTCAGAGAGCCACGGGGCCTGTCGCGAGACAGCTGAAGATATTTCATCCGATCTCGCAATCCGCACGCGTGTGCAGGAAAAAGGGGAAGCGTCGGCTCTAGCTCCGCATCGGTTCTTGCCCAACGAGATACGATTCGAGATTTCAACCAGGCTTGAAAACTCGTGAATCCAGAAATAGAACCCAAATCATGATAACGCGGAAACCCGAAACACTTCTCAGATCGGGGCTTCACCGATGGGATCCGAAATTCATTCGGGTAAGGGTATTTTCGAATGACGACATCAACACGTCAATACACCGCGACCTGAGCTCCCGTAGATGATCGGAGCTCGCTTCACCGATTTCTGCGTGCGTTCCAGCGGAGCGGAGACTTGGGTGTCAACGACTTCAAATGGGACTGCGTCTGTTTGTTCCGAACTCCGAGCCCCGTAGACAAACGGCGGCGTCGCCGGCGCACTAAGTAGGTGCACCTTCGAATCCCCCCAAGTCCCCATACCCATCTTCCTTCCTCCTCCCCCTCCTCCTCGTCGACGACGTCGTCTTGATCACTTAGCGGAGGCAAGCAAGTGAGCGAGCTGGGATGCCAGGCAGCATATTTATCGCCTTCCTCTAACTCCGCAACAACTTTGAACTTTGAAAAGAAGAACTTGGTGCTGATGCATATTCCTTCGTATAGCTCACATCCCTTGATTCTCGTCTACCCACAGCCCGATCGAGCGAAGTGTCGCGGCGCAATCTCAGCCAATTTCTTCCGATTGTCTGGAAAGGTTTGCACGCAACCATTGTAATCACCGACAACGTCCTATGTTGTTCTTGACAGTGGTCCGATTTCGCGGCGGATCTCGAACAATTCCAACGCTCGAGCCGCTCTCGACAATTCGTCAAAGACGATACCATGGTCGTAGACGACCGGCGGGGGAGTTCACTCCCGAACAGCTGAGGAGCGCTTACAGTGCTCGATGAAAGGACAAAAGGAAAATCTTCAAAAAATCCACACCCCAGTGGATTTCTTTGCTCTCGGCTCGGGTTGCCTTCTCGCTCCGCCGAGACTCGAGCGCTCAATGCGAAAGTCAATGGGCGTGAGATATGTAATCCCAGCCAAATGGCAACAGCCACATTCCGTCATTCTTCAAACCCTTCTCTGAGCCCGGAGTCGGCGCCAAAAAGGATGAGGAAGGATAAAAGAAGCGAACACTCCTGAAGCTAATTTGGAGCTTAGTACACCAAAAAGAGGGTAAGAATCGGAAAAAAAATGATAAATTCCTTTTCCTTGAGAGCTCCTTCCCACGTCCTCGAGAATGGAACCAAATCCCCGGAGCGGATTCTCTCGCGGACCGATGAAATATATTTCCTCAATACACAGAACTTTCTCGCTCGTTCTCGACGCGCCACGCCGACCAGTCGACTCACTCGATGTTTCGAGGCGCGAACGATATACCGGGAAAATTCAGTGGACAGAAAACATTCGGCGACATGATTGGGACGGCTGCAGAGAATCCAGTACGAAGTTCGAATTCCCCGGTAGCTCCCTAATCTACCCGTTCCCTGATCAATTTGAACAGTTCGTCATTCAATATAAAGTTTGAGATGTCAGCTGCCGCGAGAAAGAGAATGCTTTCAGCTGAGCCGAGCGCTCACCCGTGATTTTTTCCTCCTCTTCCGCTTCGCTCAAAAGTAAGCCAACGTCAGACTTAATTTTGATACCAATAATTCAAACCCTTTGATTCAGATTCTGCCTAGCTCTTTGAGGTATTGAGGGCGGCATTCGCTCTTCCCGCCGCTGACTTCGGTGGTGAAATTCAATAGCTTAAGTGCCTGCTCTGCTTCGCACACGGACTTGCACACACCAAACGCAAGCAGAGTTGAAGGGTGAGATGTGGGAGTGGAGTTGTTCTTATTCTTTGACCGGTTTCTCGCATTCTCTCTTTCTTCACGAGCGAGCGAGGAATTGATTTCTCCACTTTCGCCCACGGCTCGACCGTATGGACGTCAGGATTTCCACTCTCGTAGGGGTAAGCCCGAGCTAAGGGACTCGGGAGCGATATTCGAGGACTTCAAAGACGCAAGACAAACCCTGCCTTCTTGGGAATCCCCCGCATAATTCCTTTTTTAAGTTGCCGTGATCTTACCATGACCATTGGTGACTTCGTTGCTCGTCGGGAGATCATCACGGCTCTTTTTCACGGCATGTCCGTTCATCAACTGATTGGGGCTTGAACTTCTGTTGAGTCCCTGATTAGCGTTCGGTGCTTGGAGACGGTTCCCACTAGAAAAAAGAAGCTACGTTGAGCGGGTACTTTCACCCTATCTACGGAAGAATCGAAAACATTCCTGATTCCAGTTTGGAAGCGGTGACCCGCGACGAATCCGCGGGAGGAATTGAGAGGAGCTAGTTCTCCTCTTTTTATCAGTGAGCCGTCAACGGAGTTGGCGCTCACAAACAACTCTCGAAAAGAGGCTGTCCAGGCGCCAGTAAAACATAAGCCCGCCTAGATTAGTTGCCACGGCAGCAGCAGCAGGTCGTAAAGCTAATTCTTCTTGGTAGTAGTCACAGAGCTAGTGAGTGAGTGAGTAGCAAAGCATATTGCGAAGTCCAGTTAGACCGCCAGGCGCGCGAATCGTCTGACGGAGTAACTGACCAACCGATGAAGCAACCAACCAACCAACTCCCCTAGGAACTAGACCAGAGCAATAAGTCAAATTTTATGCTGGAGGATTTATTGGGCTTCAGTTGAGCGCCTTCGGATGCCCGCCCGTCGAGCGAGGACCGACGTATAGATGGATAGATGGATGAATGCTCCGAGGTTCCGCTGGATGGCAAGGTTTATGACAATCCAGAGATACGAGAAAATGAGGGGGGAAGATGCTCGGCCAGCTTCGGCCACCGACCGACAAAAAACTCGATCCACTAAAAGATTCGATTCCTCCGGTCGGATCGCTCCCAGGACGATTCTCGGGGAGACCAGGTGGGCCCGGACTCAATATCAAAGAGTTTCGATGATTCGCCAACTCGAAAAATTCCGTCAGGAGTCCCCGTATGCGGAATCGAATCACAAGCGTATGCTGTGTGAGCAAAAGAGTCCTACGAGGAGAGCAAACAGACTAAAATAATGAGGGTCGCTTGTGACCGGAGCTATAAGAACACCATTCCGTGAGGGAGCCGAGCAATCGGAGCGCAGTCGTCCACTTGGAGTCGTTCGCTCTCCGGTAGCCACATCTCTCGATATATGTAGGTGGGTAACTTTCGGTAGACTCGCTGGCCTAGAGGATTATGTCGCTGGTTCGGTTGCTCGCTGATATGAAATAAAGAACAAATAACAACTTGGCAGGCAATAGTCGTCTTTCGCCGCTGCTCCCTTTTCCTCTTCGGAAACAGTCTTGCGAGGCGGTTCGATCGTAAACACTCTTTACAGGTTAGCCATCTGTAGAGTTGATTTACTGTTTGCTCCTTGTCAAAGAACGGCCCCCTCTTTCGAGGATTACCAGGAGAACTTTCGTCTCCGCTCATCCATATTGTATTCTCCTGGTATCTGATCTGTCGGAGTTGGAAAGCAAATCGGATCGAGTCGAGCGCACAGATTCCGAAAATTCAACGCTCTCCGTTCCTCCGCCAGACCACAAGGATTCACTTGAAGAACGTCACCATTGGCGCCTTTCGTTTGAAGTGACAGCTCTCTTGTTTGACAAGTCGTTTTATTTCCCACTCCGTCAGTCAGTCAGTTCATTCGGCCGTCAGTGCAGACAGTTCGTGCAGTAGTTAATAGCATTCATATATAGCGAACACTGCGAGGAATTTAGTCGCGGCTACGGGGCTGTGCATTTCTGAAGCGTTTTGCCCAACTGCAGCGCGAGTTCCAATATTAGCTTTGAAGCCTATCGAGTCGATGAAGCGTATCAAGCAGCCCGGGAAGTCAGTCAGCGAGTTTTGCCGAACGAGCGACCGTCATTGAGTGAGGTCTGTCCCTCTGTCGGTTGTCGCAAACTTGCTGATAAACTCCGCAAGTCGCTCTGGACAATGCAGCGCACATGTCGAACATCTCGTAATGTTCGACGCACCATTAGACTCAAAACTGTTGAGAAGAGAGAGCATGTGGAACGTCGTCGTCGCGAACGAAGTCTACCAAGTCACCGCAAGCGGACATGCATGCGAGTCGCCGAGCAAACTATTACATCAACTGGAGCCTGGGAGATCGAAGTACATTATTTCTTGTGAGGTTCTTCAATTCGTTCGAGTGTGTATTTATCGAGTGTTCCGCTCCTTCACCTCTTGTTGTCGCCGGTTGACTACAAGCACACCACTGATGAAGTCGCCCAAGTAATTTTTCTTCTCAGCCGAATGAAGAAAGCACCGGGGCTGAAGCCTATGGCGGCAGCGGCAATGCTCGGAGCATTCTCTGCGGCTCGAGGCTCGGAATCGAGAGCAGAAGCAGCACTGACTCTGCTGCTCCGAAGCCCGAATAAACTCGTTCGAGAGAGCTCAGAAATTGAAACTTTAAAATATGGCCTTCCAATCGGTCGTAGAGATGAGCAGTGCGATCTCGTAGGGGTGGGTGGCGGTGGTCGTAGGTACGCCGAGGTAAGTTAAAGTGAGGTACGGCAAGGAGATGAGAGGGGGGGCTGCCCTCAAAGATTAATACCTTTAATGATAGAAGAGTACTCCCTCCCGCCTGCCTGGCTGCGTGGTCCCATGCTCCTACGCGAACGAAGAAGGGGTTGTAACTCATCTGATGCTTGAGTCTCGATACATACGGGGTTAAATGTAGCGGCAAAACAAGATGGAATTACCCCTCTTGCAGGAGCAGCAGCAGCAGAACTAGCGCCTTTGGCTGTTCAATATAACCTCGAAAAAGGACCAAAGGCTGAAGATAACCAAACTGTGCGGTAATGCTTAGCTGCTTGCTATTAAAGCCTCTTCGAGCAAACGACACTTACGAACTCCGTACCGGCATGAAAGAATGCCTGCTACCATACAGACAACTTGGCCCGAAAAGAATCACGAATCGCGCACCGCTCCAGATAAGATTCTACTCATTCGAGTGTTTGTTGAGCCTGGCCCTTCCCTTGCTTATCTGTACAAAATTCAGGCTTATCTCGAATCAGGCGTCGTCTGCCAAACCGTTGAACTGTTCTGCACTGTCATTGCATCGGCTCGTCTACCGCACGTTTCATTTCGTATTTTGCGCGAGCCCATGGGCTAATCGCGCTCGTCAATGCACGGGCAGGAGAGCACATGCGTCAACCCTGACGGAGAGGGAAGGAACGACTTGACCATCGAGTTATCCAAATCGATCCCCGACTGGATCTCCGTCCCGCTGTTTTTCTCCCCCCTCCCCCGTTGGAGGCGAGCTTACTCATCTCGGAGTTTGCAGCTCCGCATCGTCGCCGCCGGCGTCGTCTAGATTCTGGTGTCTATTTTGTGGTGAGATTGGGACGCAACAGTTGTGGTTCAGGGGAGAAAATGACAAATGACTTCCCAGAAGCAGAAGAAGTCAACCGAGGTCGAAACTCTGAATCAAATCCGACGAATCTTAAGTAGAACCATTTGAATTGCATTAGCCCGCAGCTTCGTTGAGCGTGTCACGCTCCCTCCGTCAGAGGTTGGCGAATGCGACTAGGACTCGGACCCGGGATCTGAGCAAGAACATCGCTTCTTGTCCCTCCACACTCTCCCGAGCGCGAACAAGGAACGAATTTTTCACGCCGAAGTGCCAGCAGAGAATCAGGACCAACACTCTACGAATTGTTCGAATTTGCTCTATTCATGCGTGAACGCTATCAACCCGATATTTATTCGTCGTTCCTCCTCCGGGATACCGGATCCCATCTTACCGGAAGGTTTGCTCGCCGAGAATGGCTATAAAGTGACGAGCGAGAAGTTTCATGCGTCAATAAACGAGAAAAAATAAATGAACATATTGATTCCGTTGGAGTAACTCACGGTGGAGTTTATCTGCGGTTACCGAGACGCTCATATTCTCCTCCTTGTCTTCACACTCCACTGCACCCTGAGACGAGCCGGAGGACGATGCAGATAGATCCGCGAAGGTAATCCGCAAGCGTCGTTCGCGGAACACCGATTGAACAATCGCGGGACTTTGGATTTTTTTCGCGAAAGCTCCTCGCAATGAAATTCGGTCAAAGTGAACGCTACGTTTATTGCCAGAGTCTCATAAATCGAGCAGAGGAGCGAGCCGGCCATGGACGGTCGAACAGAAGATTAGCCTAAATTTTCTCCAAATGATCAGCGGATCACTCCATGGACTTTCGGACGGACCACTTGTATTGTGTTCCGCGCACAAACAGCAAAGCTCGAAACCAGTTCGGTTCCCTCGTGACTCGGATGGACCGTATGGTGGCATGCTCAGCGATAGTCCAATCAGAAAGTGAACGGGCTCGTGCATAGAGACGTCAGCTCCAGGATTAGCGAATCATTCAGTCCCTGCCTAGCGGGCTAGTGATGGCGAGCAAAGTGCTGCTTGGCCGCTCAAAATCAAACCAGGCGACCGAGCGAAAGACCTAACACAGAGTCAAATCCATTGCATACACCAATCGTAAATCAATCAATCTTCCGGTCGACTTGGAAGAAAACCGGTTTGCGCTCTCTGTAAATACGAACCGTATCGGCTAGGATTAGTTGTAGAGAAGAAAGAGAAAATAGACGAAGCCTGCATTTGCTTTTCGACGCTACCCGGCTCGACAGAGCTCCGATTGCGCCGGCCGCCGCGCCGTCACCACCATCTCCATTATTGGCGATGACGATGATTGGAACGTCTTCGATCAGACTTAAGGCAGCGATCGTTTTCAACTGTCAGAACGCTTGCCGCATCTGGCGACGAGATATTTCGTCTGGCGAGATCGAGCTGCGATTGTGGATTTCTCACCCGATCATAGAAATGACACGATACGGAGACCGACAAGTAATGATTCCCCATCATCAGGGGTGATTATTCCTCCCGCGTGAGCCCTCCGGGTTCGGGAGCTAGTCTCGCGATACATACCACGCCGCGCCTATACCTATTTTGATTATTGACTCGACGCGACAGAAATATGCGCTGAAGAGCAAACTGCCAACGAACGGGGTAAAAACTGGCAACGAGCGAAGACTTCAAGGAAGGAAGGAAGGAACAAGTGAGCAATGATATCAGATTTCAATGCTCTCATCTCTCGTCTCAGAGAGACGAGATTCGAGTCGAGCTGAATAGAACGCGTTCGGACGAACAGACGGATGAACGAACGAACGGAGCCAGATCGAATGGAGCCAGCAGA